AATCCTGGTAGAAACCACCAAATGACTGTACGCGCTCAAATTGTGTGTGGTGGACGAAGTATCGCTATCTCTAGTGAATAATGTCAAGGCTTACGTACCTATACACTGGCCCACGGGAGTGCTGTACGGATTGCCAAGTAAGAACTCCATTTTGACAACAAACAATCCGCTCGGGAATGACAGAGGCTGAGGCCCGGAGGCGGTACTACCAAGTCCCGCCCACACGGCGATGCTATTGGTCGATGAAAACAGGACGTTCAACGCGTATGGTTGGAATCCATGTCGGTCATACGTAGCAACCGAAGCTATGTTCAACAAATATTTTTTGCACACATAAACGTGTATTTTACTTGAAAGCGCGCTGAAATTATATATAAATGCATTAAAATACAGAAATAACGATTAAAAAAGCAGTAAGCCTCTGAAATATAGAATGTACAAATAGTAGGTTGAATGGATATATATATAACTTATATATACATTCATTGCGCTTATGAAAAAGGTTTAACCGGAAGAAAACAACTGTGCGCAAAATCTTAGCGTCATCATGGCTAATCATTATTTTGATCTGTGTTGTTATTACGTGTTTTAATAGCTCAAGCGAGTGTATTTTGAAGTTTAGAGTTTATTTTAACAGAATCGTTTTGAACGTACTTGAACGCAGCTTAGCGTCAGCTAGTTGCTATGTAACAGCGTGTAAACAATAGAGGTTGGTTAGTTACTGACTTTATCTTGGAACTAAAACTTGTGTTGTTGGTTTTTTAAAGCACTTTGCATTGGAAGAACAACAAGAAGCTAGATTTTGCGACTGTCGTTGGTAGGTGTAATGTTGTCTTATGTTTTCATTTAATTTATTCATTAATTCACTTTTGCAATCTAATGGTGATGTTAGCAAACGTTAATAAATAATCTAATCTACATGCCCCCCCCTTTTTTTGGCATAATCTTTAACTGAACAAACCAAGCTCCAAATTAACAAAATATGAAAATATTTTTTCTTTGAGCAGAGGGTAAATTGAAGTCGAGCCTGCCTCCAACCCCATCAACAGCACGATGACTGTGTATTTGGGTAAATGTGAACCGATTTTGATGGATGAGAAGTTCCTGAAGGCAGCAGTTGAGGAGCAAGTGTCTGCAACTCAGGATGGGCTTGTTGCCAAGGCGGAGGGAATCCACTTCAGTGAAATCATTAAACTACGTCTGGAATACAAAAGTGAGAAAACTCAAAAAAGGACCTATCAGTGTATCAGTGTGTATTGGGTTTAGGTGTGTGAGAGGTTGTTTGTTCACAGGTATCCTGAGGATTGACCACTTGTGGGAATTCACGTCCTTGGCCAGGCTTGATCTGAACAACAACCACATAGAAGTTATTGAGGGCCTGGACCGTCTGGTTAATCTGACATGGCTTAGTAAGGCGAAGCTTTGTATTTATATTGTGCTCATGCCTTCTTGCCAAAATTGTGCAGGTATATTTTAAAATATCAGCCCTGTGACTACTGACAGACATTCTGAATGTGTCCTTTTAGATCTGTCTTTCAACATCATAGAGAAAATTGAGGGTCTGGAGTCTTTGCGGAAGCTTGAAGTGCTGAATCTGTCCAACAACAGAATCTCTGTCATTGAAAACCTGGACACACTTGAGAACCTCAGTCATTTCTGCTTCGCAAACAACCTCCTTGAAAAGCTGGACAATGTAACAAAACTTTCTTGCATACAGTAAATCTGTCACATAATATTGTTTTTGTGTTGACAGCACTAGAACATGACAGATAGTTGAAATGACCTAATGCAAAAATGATTGCATTTCAAAGGTGCTCTATCTCAGGAAGTTTAAGAACCTCTTCACCCTCAACCTGTTTGGAAATCCTTTCCCTGAAGAAGACGATTACAAATCTTTCGTCGCAGTCTACTTTCCGAAGTTGACGTGCCTAGACTACAGACTGATTGACGAGAAGATAGTAAGTACGGGTGGTGTGTTTTAACTCAAACCTAAAGTTGCAATTTGTTGTATTCACATAACTTTTATAGTCCTCTGTCTTAAAGCATTTTTTAGAGATAATTTTCTTGTAAACCATGACCATGCCTAAGTTTGTTTCAAACTTGGTATTTAGAATTTGCTGTGTTGATACTGTATAACTAAATCACGTGTGTATGTGCAGAAAAATGAGGCATTTATCAAATACCAGTATGTCCTTGAGGAGATGAGGCGTGAAGAGCTGCAAATACAACAAGCTGATGAGGCTCAGCAAAGCAAGGATGCCGAAGTCAAATTACACACGGTGATATAAAATTCACATTTGGAAATGCAGTTGTTTTCCACTGAGATCTCAACGCTTGTATGCAAACTGTGTGTCTGTAAGTTCACTTCTTCTTTCCAACAGGATGCCTTTGTGGAGTTCCTGAATGGGTCTTACCTGTTTAGGAGCATGTTCAAAGATGATCCAGAGGCAGAGGTGCTGCAATGTGTGCCGGCAGTGGCTCATCTGCTTGAAACATATCCTTTGTTACCTTTGTTTTCTAATCAATGCAGGCGCATTACAAATTATATATAACATTACTTGGATTCCTTAATTCCTACACTTACATATGAGAACCAAATGGTGGAGCTGTGTATGCAGGTATTTAAAATAGGCTTGGCCGAACATAAGCGAAGAGAGACAGAGGTGAGCTCCTTCTTCCGTGGCCAGTCTAAGGCTATGACAGACTACCAGCAGAAAGCAACACAAATATTGGCAGAGTTTGAGAAGCAACACGAAGAGGTGAGCTGTGAGGAGCATAATGTTTTAGAGAGACAAGTACAGGGTACTCAGTAAATTTGCTATTAGTGTATGAATATCTCTTGTGTTCACATTTTTAGAAGATAGAGGAGCTGCAGGAGTTAACAGACCCAGACCTACTGATGGCAAAGATCAACAACCACGATGAGGAAATCAACCAATTCTGCAAAAGCTTCATGGCGTTGGAGTTTCAGCTGGTCAGCCAGATGGAGGTATGTGTATCCAAATCTGCTTTTGGTTAATCCTCTTGAGACTCAATGATATAAATCATGTTGCATAGATTATTATAGAATCTATAAATACAGATTAATTAATTTACTTTGCTCCCACATGTCAAAAGCTGTGTGTGTCTCTGCTGTGACTCATACTGAAGCCTCCTGTTTATTTCAGGAAACCATCAGAAAGTTTGACATCAACATCTCAGACATGGTTGGCAACTTCAGTGAAACTGTTCAAGGGATATATCCTTTCAAGAGCTTTGAATCATTTCCTATAATGCAGGTTTGTTACTGTTTTCAGGGTCTTGTCCTCACTATTAAGATACTCAGAGTTCTTCACTTGGAGAAGCAACTTGCTCCAAATCCAATTTTAATCTAATCCAATATGGGTCCCAGGGTAGTTGCTCACTTGTGTGGTCAGAAATCCAGTCCCGTTTAAATGTCAGTGTTCATACACATCACCCAGTGTGGGTGCAAAATTAGCAATAAATCTAATTTCTACTTTCCATGACACAGTCATACATTTGCACAATGTCGAGATTTGGAGAATGATTATCACGAGAAGGTGCGGGAGATTGCTGTAGCAACGCTGGAGACTGTGGCCAAGGAAGAGGTGGATGAAGACATGCCGGAGGATGTTAAGATGGTGAGTGACCAAACTATCCAAAATATAGGATTACATTATGGTTATGGGGACTATTATAGCCTGATAAAAATGTCAGTGTCAGCATCCAGTGTAACATTACAGCCACCACTTCTAAAGACCTTGAAGTCTATTGCTCATTTTAAATTATACATGAAATAAGTATATATTAATTATTGCAGATATACATAGCAGAATAATAGCAGTCTAATGGGAACGGAGATGACAGAAGAGGTCAGATGAGGAGAGGACGTGGTTTATTTCCAGTGTCAGTGTCCTCAGCCTTTCACGCCTGTGTTTTCTCTGGGTAGCTGTTTACAGACAGAGAGAAAGTGATGGACGCACTGACCGCCGGCCACGATAACCACTTGGTGAAGATCAATGACAGAGAGACTCAGCTGGTTACGCGTATCAGTGCCTGGAAAGTGGCCCTCATTAAAGGGGTAGGGAGCTAAAATTACATGAAAATAAACACCCAAATGTATAATTTAATGGATGACAGACCTTTCCTCCATATCTCACATTCGTGTTATTGTTTTTGTCTTTATGGGTTATCATTGCAGATTCAAGACAAAGAACTGAAGCAGAACCGCATGCGCATATCAGACATCCACAGATATGTGGACCATTTGAGGGAGGAGTCGTAGTAGCATCATCAGTAAAGCATTTCACTGTGTGCAAGTAAAAATATTTGTATTTGTATTTTGTTCCCCATACGCAATAAAGAATCTCAGAAATAATTCCACCTGTTCACTTATGTCTTGCTGCCTATTTTGAGATTAAAAGGGAAATATTACTGTTTCAATGTCATCCCTTGTTCCCTGGCCAGCCAAATACATTAGATCTGTGTGGTGTACACTTCTTTAAAATTATTATTGTTTAAAAATAACTGTAATACAGGAAGAAACATAAAAATAATCATCTGAAAGTTGTGTACACAATATATCATTAAAAAGGTGATGTCTTAAAAGTTTTTTGTTTCAACACAAAACAGGGTATATTTTTATTAATGAAGACCTAAGATAAGAAATGTTTTGTAAAATATTAAGAAATATATATTTAAAAGAAAACACATATAGGGCAAAAATAAAACGTTTATTATAGTTTAACACATGTATAGTATTATATGTGGTATGGTAAACAATATAAGTAAAATACTTTTTGTATATTTTATCATATATATGATATATTACCAATAATTTTTGGTAGAATTATCATTGTGTGTTTCCCACATTTCTCTCACAAACTGATGGTTTTAGTTGTAGTAGAAAATGAAATACAACTCCCAGAATGCATGTGGGTACATTATCCAATAAGACTCGAGCTCGAGCCGCGAACCCGGCTTCCAGCCAATGAAATCGAGGCAAGCTGGATTCTGAAACGAGACGTTGCAGTATCCCTCCTCATTAGCAAGTCCATGGGCTAGCCAGAAAAAAATTGAGGAAAGTTTTGGACCCCGGGGGTTTCGAGCAGCTGGCAGTCCCTCCTTTGTCAGCAGCCATTCTCTCTCCAGCCTGTGTTGTGCTCTGTCACAAAGTTCATGACGGTTGCTGACGGTGACACTTTAGCGCTCATCATGCCTGTCCGAGCAGAGTGCTGCAGTACCACCGGCTCGGCCTGCCCATCCTCGGCCTCTCTTGTTCCCCCTGCCCCGATCAACACCCACCAGCCGGGGGTGGCCACGTCGCTGCTGTACAGCGGCTCACAGTTTCGGGGCTATCAGAAGAGCAAAGGCAACTCCTACGACGTTGAGGTGGTCTTGCAGGTAATGTGTTCCTGTCATGCTCTAGTTATTGGTTTGTTTATATATTATGCAAAGTCAGCACATATGTAGCCCTAGTTGCTAACTTGCTAACTTAACAGACGGTAGCTCGTTCAGATAGCTGGTTGTCATTCAGTATTAATGTAACAGACTCACACGCTGACCTCATTTTGAGCCAGCCCAGCTGACTGTTTTTACTGTGACATTTTGAAGTTAGAAGACATTTCACTAATTCACATATTTGTTAGCAATGTTACTGTACATACAGTGTCCAAACCGGTTAGCATTCTGTGCAACTAGCTACATAAATGAGTGTAATTAGTGTATTGGCGTTGACTTTGACAGCAATATCAGCAGACATACTAACAGAAGCTGCGATGACTGCCTGCCTGTAAGGCTTGTCTCTGTTCACACCAGCCCTCCTGCATTTTTAAACATCATAAAGAAGAAGAAAAACCATGTTTGCACTTGTGATTTCATGCATAATTATGTTTCTTAAATCTGTTTGTCTTGGGCAGCATGTGACTGTGGAGGACTCATATTTGTGTGGATACCTGAAGATCAAAGGCCTGACGGAGGTAAGCGTTGAAACTAGGTCAGGTGTAGTAAGACTGACCTTTATTCTGTCAAAAACTAAGCACAAACTGGTTTCCACTTGCTTGATGCAGGCTAAATTGTGACAAAGATTAGTGGTAGGCAAATGCGAGGCCGGGTCTAGACTTTAGTACTTTGCCTAAGTGTGTAAACTGTATAACCATTACATTATGCAACATATGGAAGGTAAAAAGTCAGCGGGATCCTAAAGTGAGTTTTGGCTGCGGTAGAGTAAAGTGAAAGATGAGTAGCAAGTTCATGTTTGTGTCTCTTTTTGAAATAACAACTCGTGTTTTAACTGACAAGTTGCTCATGAGAAAATATGCCGATCCAGTGTTTAACATTTAGGAGGATCTATCGGCAGAAAGGGAATTCAATATTTCTAAGTACGTTTTCATTAGTGTGTAATCATCTGAAAGTAAGAATCGACTCTGACCTGTCACTCTTCAGTTGTCACTATTGATTAAAGGCAATAAAAAGCTAAAAAAGAATTGTGTCTACAGAGGGGCTGCATCATCTGCTACGGAGTCAGCCATGTTTCTACAGTAGCCCAGAGTGGACAAACCAAACACTGGCTGTAGATGTAGGCCTTTCACGTTTTTCACAGCCACGGTAGTTTCTCCTACACGCTTGGAAGGGTAGGGTGTGGCAAGTTGGTTGCCTGCTTCAGCGTTAGATGCAAGTCAACATACAAGACAGTGGTTACCTCATTCTTACTGTAATCTCTCCTGCTGATAGTTCATAGGCGGCTGCACAAGATATAAGTCTGGAGATCTGTATAATCCTTGTGTTGCGTAGTGATCGACTGACAGCGGTACCTTTTCTAAACATTTTAAAAATAAATATAATTTGCAGCTATTCATGTATCCACTTTCCTTTCTTGTTTTCTCTGTGTGACAGGAGTATCCCACTCTCACAACGTTCTTTGCTGGTGAAATTATCAGTCGAAAAAGGCCTTTTTTAACTAGGAAATGGGACGCAGATGAGGATGTGGACAGAAAGCACTGGGTATGTCCTCTTTGATTGTTGTTCTGCTCTGTTACTAATGCTCTGTGTGCATTCATTGGTTAAGGGTTTGTGGCGTCAAACTATCATGCAGTTTGTGTGCAGCTTTCCGTATGGCGGGAAAGGGACAGTAAAAGTTGCTTACTTTGATGAGACAAAAGTTCACCCAAACTGCAGTAAGCACCTGTAGCCAGCAGCACTTCATCAGCTCACTGACACTTTGTATTCTTATGTCTTCCAGAAAAGCCTGTAAATTGTGCAGAAATAGATTTAGTCCTTTTTAATTTTGTTTGGCTACCTCTTTAATAATAGATGGAGTGAGGCAGGAGCAGCACTTACCACTGTATTGTAAGAAAAGCTCTTGACAACTGTTGAAAATGACTTTATATCAAGGAGCAACAGACATTTCTTTAGTTTATAACAATGTTATTGTAATTTATGTGGCAGACTTTAAGTTAGACTTTGTATCCCAGTTGTTGTCTTCTCATTATTTATTATTATTTTTAAATTATTATTATTCGCTCTCTTTCCAGGGCAAGTTTAATCCTTTTTACAAATATGCCAAAAGCTTCAACTCGGATGACTTTGACTATGAAGCACTGGACAACAGTGATTATGTCTTCATGAGGTGGAAGGTTAGTACATTATCTTACTCTCATCTCTCTTTCTCTCTATCCTCGTGTTAGCTTTAAGCTCTAACCTCCACTCTTTCTCTTTCTTGTACTCACAGGAGCAGTTTCTAGTTCCAGACCACACTATCAAAGACATTAGCGGCGCCTCCTTTGCTGGCTTCTATTACATCTGCTTCCAGAAGTCCACAGCCACTATCGAAGGCTACTATTACCACAGGAGCTCAGAATGGTAACCAGATTCAATGATTAAAACAGCGCTTTCAGTCTGTTTTGCCACGTTAGTTCATGTCTCTTATGTCGATTTTCTACTTACCTCTGCAGGTACCAGTCTCTAAACCTGAACCACGTTCGAGAGCACAGTATGCCTATTTATGAATTTCGGTGACCAACATACACACGAGTATTGAGTCAAGGAAGGGGGATAGTCCATACTGCCCTGTGGTTAAATGGGACGGGAACGACAGAGAGCCCTTTAGTGCCAAGACTGGAGCTGACCGGTTTTCCTTGCTGCTGGGAAATAAACATGTGGTCAGACACTCTTCTGGTTGAAATAAAGGCATGGAGAGAGAGAGAGAGAGAGAGAGAGAGAGAAAGGTTGAAAGGAAGACAAAAGATCAGTGACAGATGGACAGCTGCTGTAGGACCGATGTTTGCTTCGGATTAAATTTTTTATTTAATTTTTTCCTTTTTTTAAAATTTCAAACCTGATTTCTTTGCGCTCTCATAGGAACTGTCTCCCTGTAGTTGGACAACAGCAAAGACACTAAACATGCCAGCCTTTTAGTTAAGAGTTGCGAAAGATAAAGGTATAAAGTTGTGATGAGTGTTGTCCAGTAAAGCTTAATTAATTTCTCTTATTTTAACTCTAGAGTATCTTTGCAGTATCACTCTGATGGCCCGTAGTGATTAAAGCAGAGTGTGACGGTGAGGTTATTGCCATAAGTTTGCAAGAAAAACGATGAGTAGTGGTCTACTTTTTATGCAAGGTCTATAAGACTGTAAGTTAAGGTCTGTTGCTCAGGAATGGTATGTTTGGGCAATGTGTATTTAAAAACTGAGAACCAACAGTTGAATGTGGGAGTTGGGTGAGTTAGGATGACGACGATGTTGCCCTCCGAACGGGTCTTTTTAATAACAATAACCAATTATTTCCAAACTGCTGCTGCTTTTTGCTGCTCAACGAATATTCTGCAAATAGCTTCACAGAAAATGTTCTCTATGCAAGCCAAAGGTTACTAATGGGTAGTCGGGATGCACGATATGGATTTTTTGTTGTTGTTTTTTAGCCGATACAATAACCGATTATTACCTGCTTTTCTCATGGTCCATACCAATAAGACAACCCTTCATTTTACATTTTTGTATTTTAAAAGGAAGTTCATAAGCTGTAGTTTATGCACACTTGATGGTAAGAAAAGGTAAAGATGGATGATTTAATGTTTTCATAGCTCTGACCAAACCAACAGGACAACAGTTTTTGACTCCTCCTGGTAAAGTACATCAAACAACTTCACAAACATTGTATCTACCAATAATTTATAAGCTTTAATTTAATAATAAGAATAATACCTAATAATATAAATTTCCCATTTTTAGCTGATAATTTATCGGCCCGATAATTATCGTGCATCTCTTAATAGGTAGGGTTTCTAACACCACCTAACTTATTTTATTTCTCTTCCAGAGAGATTTATTTATTTTATTTTTTATCAAAAATGTCCTTGAGTCGAAATGCATAAGACAAATGAAGAAAGAATAAGTAGATTTATTTAAATATACAATTACCAGCATTTGAAGCTTAGATATGTGACAGTACATTCCAACTCAGTTCCAAAATGTTGTATTTTATTTTCAGAAATTCAGTCGTGTGAGAGGCGTTGACAGACCAAATAGATGAATAGAGATTGCGTGGCACGTGTGGAGTTTGACTGATGGGGAAATGTTCAGATTTAACTCTACAAAAGCAGTGCAGTGATTTGAATGTTAATCTTCCATTCAGTCTGTGGATAAAATCTTAGTCATATTCATGCTTTCCACAATATTCCCATCTTTAGAAGCAGTTAAATGTGCAATCTGCGTTTTCTCTGAACCTTTTTTTTAAACAAAGGCACAACAGTAGGACGTAATATAACAAGCTTCACATGACATGCTTATCTACACCGTGTTACTGTTCTGTCGTCAGTGGAAAATATGTGAAAAAGCACGTTGTGTGGCTCATGGAGACGAGTCCAAAGTAGGAAAGGGAGATGGAGAGAAGAACAAAAACCTCCTTTGATGCTTTAGGAAAAACCTGCTGCCTTACAATTTTAAATGTTTGTAAAGATTCCTTTTTAAAAACAAGACAAATGGTTAGGTTAGTGATGTTTTATTTGAACCAAAGTCATTTGTGTGTTTGAGAGAAATTTGTGCACAAGATGACTGAACCTTTGATCAACCACCTGAATATTCTTAAAGTTTCTTTCTGGAAAGGGTTGATATAAAAGTTATGTGCTGGAGAGTGCATGTACTCTGCCTGCCTCTTTGTTGCTTATAGACTCAGCTGCCTTCAGCTTCAGCTGCAGCATGACAAGTGGGTTTGATGGGTTGTGGGAATACTGTATAATGTACAGCAAATTTTCTTTTAACCCAAGTACGTGGATTGAAGAGCTTCCAGTCTGGAAAACTTCAAAATAATTTGTTTTTTGTTTGTTTTTTTATTAATCACGTAACAGAGAGGAAAAAAAACATGTGCAATGCAAGAATCAAATATTTATGTGGGAGTGTGTCATTAAAAGTCTGAATACACCTGATTTAAAAAGGTCAGTTTAAAGAAGATGATGTATGATAAATCTGCTATGAGTGCATTGTGTGAGGAGAAATAAAGAGTGAACTATTTCATACGTTGTTGTATATGCTTGGTGTTATTTTTAATAATCCCAGCACTAGTTAAGTTGATTTTACCTTAATTTGCGTGAGTGTGTGTGTATGTGTGGTATTTTTGCTTTTATTTAAAAGCGACAGGACACAGGGAAGAGTGAGTACAACATGAAACAAAGGTCCCTGGCTGGAATTGAACCAGGAACGTTGCAGTTGTGTGTTACACATTAACCTTTAGTCCAACAACCTGTTCAGGCCACAAAGTTCATAGCAGCCAACACAAGATGTCAGTAGTGGACAACAAAATAGTTCAAGTCCTCTTTCAAATTTGTCGGAGTCCAAACCAGACTCAAAATTGTTCTAAAGGTCTAATAATAATAGTGTGGCCACTTTTGTTTCTGATAAAATAGTTTTTGATGCTGCAAATCAAGTCTACAGGCCAAATACCCCTTCATATCTTTCTGGAGGAAGCCAATTCCCAAGAAATGATCCACACACATACACACACAACAGCATCTTTATCTGGTTGTTTAAAAATTGTTTTAGTTTAGTATTAAATGTTAAGAGGAGCCCTAAGACAAGGTTTTTCACTGGAGACCAAAGGTAGTTTTACATGAACAATGTGGCTTCTTCCAACTGAGAAAAGTGCAGAGTAACCACAAATATTTTGTTCTGCCAGATCCTTTGCAGCCAGCTAATGATTAACCTGTAAAAGTGGCTTTCCTGAGAACATTTTTAACTATAATAAATAAATAAAAAGTGAATAATTAGTAACTGGCTCATGTTTGGCCTACGTGCTGCAGCTAAAATAGACTGAACAGGAAACATTTATTTCTGTCAACCCATGAAAGGAAAGAATGTGAAAAGTAATATCTTCCTGATATGGCTTTAACAATGCAGGCTGCTTTTTTTATAAAGTGTTTTACTGTAATGAGTGAAACTGAGAAGCAAACGCAGCTCCAAAAAATGCAATTAATGCTTAAGACTAAATGGCATAAATGTTTTGACCTTTTCTAGTATATGATTGCAGCATCAATGGAAACCCATAGTGAATAAAGCACTTCCGTTGATGTAAATATGATATAAATCCACAATGACATAACAACTTATGTCCGATGAAAGTACAAAGGAAACAGAGATGAGATACAGCACAGAACAAACAAGGGACAAGAGGACATTCTGATAGAAAGTAGAATATTTATTCAATTTCATGTGCATGGTTTGGCATAAAAACCCAAATCCAAGCACTTAATTGACTGGTTGAGGGCATATGTTTATTCTTTTATCATTTAAAAGACATACTTTGTCTTTTGGTCTCCTTCATTTGATTCTATTCTTCTTTATTTCCCCCTTTTTATTGTCTAGTAAATATTCTTGTACATCTTATGTAAATCACTGTAAACCACGGTGGCAACAAAATGAACAAAAACATGTTCATTTAAAGTATGTTCAACTGTACAGAGTGTCATCTCTCTCTAAAAACGGGTTTGATAGGCCTGAATAAAATCAGAGCACCTGTAACTCTAAATACACCTGTTCCACATTCATCTTATGTGAATATATAATTTATTTCCTTTGCCTGAGCCCCATGCATCCTAAAAGACCCAACCTATTTGTGACAGTAGACGCGTGGGTGTTTCTTTGGTTTTTTGGAGCAACGCCGGACTTTCCTGTAAGTGACGAGATATTTTTCCACCTCTTAAGTTTAACTGTGTCTCCGTGACTCACACACACACACACACACACACACACAGACACACCTGCGCAGGGGAGTATAAAAGCGGCCGCAGAGCATCCCTGCTCCAGTCCCAAAGCAGGGCGAGCCAGAAAAGGCTTCTGTTGCAGCTTACATCTGGACTATTCAACAACCCTTCTCTTTTAAAAAGAAATCTTCTGTCCTTTCACCATGGAGGCCCAGCGGTATCCCCTCAGTGTGCGCGTAATTGGAGTGATGCACAAGGAGAAGAGCAAAGTAAGCGCACATGGAGTCTGTTTTCTCCTTTTTGTGATTTTTTAAAAAGAAAATGAATTAAAAACCTGTTTTTCTAGTGTGGTAAAATAAAATCTGTATGTTCCTCTCCTAGATGTATATGACCTCGGTGCTTTGGTCGGACCAGAACGATATTGTGGTTTATAGAACTTTTCGGGATTTCAAGAAAATGCATGTAAGTATAAAATAATGTGTTTCTTGCGCATGTGCAAGTGGTTGCTGTTTGTTTTTTTGTTTTTGTTTTTTTTTAATAAAACGTCTCTTACTTTTTTTTTATTACAGAGACAAATGAAGAAAGCATTCCCATCCGCAAGTAAACTGAAAAAATCCGACAGAGTCATCCCCAGATTTCGAGGTATGTGTGCTTAATTTACAGCCGCGGTTTAAAGTGAATGACAGTGCGCATGTGCAGGCTGTTCTCACCTCGGGCGTCCTGTGTGCATTTTAGACAAAAAGATGAAGCGCAGCGGCCGGAAGAAGAAGGGCCCCACCAAGTCACTGGTGCGCCTCAAGTTCTTGCAGAAATATTGTGATGAACTTCTGACCTGCGACCCGCGGGTGTGTCAGTCTGCAGACCTCATCCAGTTCTTCCAGCCCAAAGCTCAGGACCTGCAGCCAGAGTTCTCCAAGAACAGGTAGGCCCAATATATCTACAGCGATTAAAATACTGTACTATATTTGTTTATGGGGGCCCTCAGCCTTTTGGGGCCCTGGACGAGATTTTGAGTGAAGCCTGAGCTTAGAAATTTAGCAGTTAGATTACAACTACATCGGGCCCAGGAAGAAAATACCTTGAATTATAATTTTAAAGCAGATAAAGGCAGCATGAAAATAAGGAAATAATTAAGTAGAAACTTCAAGAAGATTTTTTGTCTTTAAAGTTGACTATAAACTTTTTTAAATTCCAGTGTCTTGCTGCAGGTTTTGACCCTTCATGCAATAAGCCTTTGAAAATATTGGCTTCAGGAAATAGTGCTCCATGTTGACAAAAAGCTTTTTTAGTTATCTTTATAAGGCACAAGGTCTGGTTTCATGCTCATTGTAGTTCTTAGCATGAAAAAAGGTAGAAGAATTAAATTTAACACATTCATTTTAAAATTAATTTATAATTTAATGATCTGTTAAGACCACATTTTAGACTAAGTGGCATAATTTAAATGAAACATGTATTTAGAAAAGTCTCTGAAGATTTGGAAATAAAACTATTATTGTTTAAATGCCATCTTATATTCAATGTTTTACTAATGTGCCACAATAATGTCATGTTTTGTTAAGAGATCTTAATTTAGGGGCTTTTCCAAGCAAATATTGATATAAGTGATTGTTTGCCATTAAATCAGCATATATCTCTGCCACCCTACTGCCTAAAGGTGCACCCTTGTGGCTGCTAAATTAGGCATTAGACTTGAGCATAAGCTGCTATCTGTTTCCCTGGAGTGTATTTATCTCCAAATGAACCCACTGCTCTCCTCCTCAGCATCATGATCATGCCGTCAGACGATGAGCTCGGGGCCAACGCGGGACATGGCAACGGTGGCAACGTGACCCAGCCGTTTGTCACAGAGACGTACAGATGCGTGGCCACGTACGAGACCAAAGACACCAAGAACAAACCTTTCAAAGTGGCGGTGGACGAAAATGTAGACGTACTCATCAAAGACAAAGCAGGTGAGAGAGTGCTTCAGTGTTCAGTGTCCTGTTAATGGTTGAAGTAGACCCCAAATACACTTGTTAAATGTGTGCTTGTGTTGGTTCAGGGTGGTGGCTTGTGGAGAACGAGGACAAGCGGATGGCCTGGTTCCCCGCCCCCTACCTGGAGAAGCTAGATGATGACGACGATGAAGAGGACATAGATGGGACTCCTGAAAGAGGTAGAGGCTTTTCTCATTTGCATACAGTTTTTAATCAACACCTCATTACCTTAGAGGCAGTAACGTCAGTCAAGGCATTACGACGCTATGTATTAAAGCTATTTTCTTTCACTCGCAGGAATGATGTACACTGCGGTCAAGGGCTACAATGCCACCAATGACGATGAGATAACCGTAGGTATGGGTGCAGTGGTGACAGTCCTGCAGAAGTCTGAGAACGGCTGGTGGCTCATCAGGTATTTAACACATTTAGCAATCTTTAGCAAGCTCAAGATAAGCATATATAAGCATATAGATATTTACAGACTGCAGTGCTTCCTGTAAATAAGAGCCTGTATCTTGATCTAAAACAAAAAACTGTATTCCTGGATTAGTCTGGAAGCCTCCAGCTTCATTTCTCAAATATTCTTGTCTGTATTTTTTTTCAACAGATACAATGACAAAGCAGGTTACATCCCCACCATGTACCTGCAGCCCTACAGATACCCTCATATCCGCATGGGGGCTGATCATCAAGCTCGTCGCGCCTCCTCCCCGCTCCAAGTCCCCTCCCTGAGCCTGGAGCAGCAGTCTCACCAGTTCAGCCACTCACAAGGAAACCTGCTTCAACTTCCACCTGGCAGGTCTTCCTCACCCCGCCCGCTCCAAGCAGACAGCAGGCAGAGATCACACTCTCTCAACGTCCTGTCTGAACAACTTCCTGCTCAGCCCGCTGCAAGCACCACGGCCTCTGCTGCCAGGGCCTCTGCCGCCACAGTTCCCGACACACCCACAACTGGAATGCTTTCTCCTCCCCCCACAATCATGGTGGAGATGGACGGAGATGAGGAACAACATGGCAGGAGCCTGACAGCGGACAGCGACGGAAGCCTTTCGAGCAACAGCAGCGACTTCAGCTTCAGCGATGACCTCAGCTCCTCCTCGGCAAGCTCGACCTTCAACCTCAGCCACAGCGCCAACGACGAGCAGCTGCGTCTCAGCCGTACGCCTCCCCCAATGGTGAGCAACCGCCTGAGCCCGTCAAGCGGCCAAGAGGGGAAAATGATGCCCAGTGTCTCCGATCCCAACCTCTACAAGGGGCCGACAACACCTAAGGTGCCACCCAGACCGAGGGCCCAGGAGATCCTCACCCGGTGTACCACCGTCACCCGCAAGAACGCAA